AAAACTCTTCTTCAGGAAGTGATAAAGTGATAAAGAAATTACATGAGTTGTCACTCATTGGTCAAAAGCACATTCCTAGGGTAAGCGATAGGGAGTAGAGCCATTGAGGGCTAGCTCAGCAGACTTCTAAGCACTAGACATCCCCTTTTGTGGAGACAGCTGCAGGCACCTGTTCCCCACAGCATGCATTTGCTGTGACCTAGCTGCCACCCCCACTCCCCACCCTGGTTAGGGACCTAACCCCTCCCAGTAAAGGATTGTAGGACTGATAATGGATCTGAAAAGGAAGTACATAACTGTTGCCTGCCCCCCCCCCGCCCAAATCTGGTAGCCTTTGCTTATCTAACCCCGATCTCTCTGACCAACAAGAGCCCCAGGCTCTGCTAGCTATCACCACCGGATCCCCCTGAATCAGTGTGTCCCCGGGGCTTCAGGTTCTTGGATATGCCATCACCACCATGGACAGAAGGGGCTGGGCTCTAGCAGTATCTCCTGTCCCAGTACTCCTCCCCAGCTCTTTGCTTACCACCTTGTGGTAGAACATGGCCATCTTGTAGGTCCTTTTATCTTTCATCTTCAGTCTACCCATACATATGTTTTCATTTCTCAGCACTCTTCCAAGATGCTCTGGAATCTTCCCTTAAACCACATAACCAGGTTTCCAAAAGCTGTCCTGTGGTGTTTTGAAACCCAACCCGGGTGCTCACACCAGGAAACTGATTCCAAGCCAGGAATGCAGACACCACATTTTAGTCTCATGCTGACTTACAGCCCATCCACGGCCCTAAAGCCCACTGCCAGGCTGTTGTCCCGGTTCTCACTGGTGTCCTATAGCTCCCCAGAGGGTCCACTACCTCTGAGCATGGCTGTGCTGCTGGGAGACACAAATAAGGTTCTAACAGAGAATGGTAAGTGGAGGCAGCTACTGAGGGACTACTGTGCATTTAGAGTCCCTGCCAGAGTCTCCGGGAAGGGACACAGACCAGGGGCCATGTATAACTTCACTGAGAACAGGAGAGTTGAGGAAGCTGTATTTCCTCTGTCATGTCCTCCCACAGCTGGTCTTAGTGAGTCTGCTCTCAGGTGTAGGAGATGAGCCTCTGCAGAGCAGAGTTCCTTGGAAGCCAGAAGTTTCCTTCCCAGAGCTCAGAAGAATATGGTTAGACCAGTGGTTGGGAATTGCCCATAGCGTCCGGCACAAGTCACTAGATGGTCTTTCTGTCCACAGGAGAATGACTACCTGCAAGACTGCCTGGATGCCATCCAGCAAGACTTTGTGATTTTTAACAGAGAAAAGTGAGTGTGTCTACATGAGGGACCATAGAGGGGAACAGGGGTTCCACAGCACAGATGTCCCAGCAGCCTCATGACCTCTGAGGCCTGGCCAGTGCTCTCTGGCAAGCAGTGGATATGGAGAGTTGATGGCCTCTTCTCAGGCCCCTGCAGGGGCTCCCTGGGGACCTTCTAGGTGAATTTAGATCCAGGAGTTAGAATCTCAGTGACATACTTGGCTCAGAGCAGAACCAGTCACCTCCTAGTGGCCCCTTCAGTCACACCCGCCACTTGGTTACCCCCTCAGAAAAGCTTCCCTTGTTGTCTAGGACCAAGGGCAAAGACAGGGCACAGTGACTGACAGAGTAAGGCAGGACACAGACAGCTAACACATGTCTCAGTAGAGAGAGAACCTAGTATAGTGGGACCTAAGAGAGGGGTCAACACTCCCCCGACTGGGAATCAGGGAGGTCTTCCGGGAGGCAGTGGGAAGAATATACTAGGCTGGGCAAGATGCACTAGCCCTATCCTGTGGTTAGAGGACAGCACGATCATGGGCTTGGCCATGCTCTTTGAAAAGCTGTTCCAATACTGCCCACTGAAACAGCTTCTGAATGAGCCGAGATGCAGAGTCTGTGGCTCCCGGCCTCATGGCTCTATGGCTATCAGCAGAGGGTTGAGCCTCCCATACCTTTAATGGTCTCAGCACCCATGACCATGTTCCCATTCCCTGTGTTCCCAGCATGTGCCAGAACAGGGCTTCCAACAAGGGACCTTCTTGACATCCCGCACCACATCCCTGAAGGGCACATCCCATGGGTCCTAGGAAAAGCCATATATTCTATGTCAGTGGGTCCTGGGGATGCTAGTGAGGCTGTGCCATTTGGTGGGCTACGTAGATCCACTTGTGTGTCTTCCCCTCCCCCCCCCAGGCTGAAGAGGAGTCAGGAACTCATGAATGAGCCCCTCCCGTGCCCTGAGACTTCAGAGATGACAGATTCCACTGCAGACAGTGAGACAGAGCCCACAGTCCTGCCCATGTGTGGATCCATCTGCCCCTCATCTGGGAGCAGCTAGGCCATCTGGACTGTGTCCAAGGGCAGTTCTCTCTCAGGTTGCTTTGAAGACTCAGGACGGCCAGGAGGAGGCAGCAGAGGGGCAAAGACCTGACCGCCCAGTCTGCCCGTGAGGCTGTCAGTATGGTGAAGCTGCTGGAAGCCATGGGTGCCCGTCGAGAGCGGTGGTTGGGCAAGGAGGGCCCTCGGTGCCCAGACCATGGTTACTTGCAACGTAGAGGGAGTCATGCAGCCATCATGATGGTTGGCCCCTTTAACTTCAGGCTGGCAGATTACAGATGGTCAGAGTGGTACGTTGGGGCAGGAGCCCTTAGCTTTCTGGACCCTTTTGGAATTGGCTGTACATAGCCTTGTGGCCAGTCTTTGCTGTGGCCTGACCAGAATGTCCTTGAGCTTGCTGCTCAAGGCTGTGGGGGTAGGAACAGGCCTTGCTGATTCTGATATGTCACTGAGGGTGGGGGTTGGGGGAGGGAGTGTGTGGGATGGCAAAGAACATTTTTTTTGTTTTGTTTTGTTTTGTTTTTCTAGAGATACACACTGCTCTGTCAATTTCTGCAATTTGTGTATAGTTTTCACCTCTGAGAATTACAGTCTAAGAACTGCTGTGTGGCCTGCTCTGTATGTTCTGTGCCTGTGGTGCCATCCACTGCCTGCAGTCTTGCATGGAGTAAGTCTATTGGACTGGAGCAGCTAGGCAGAGGGCGCCACAGGACACTGGTGTTGTGGCAGCTACCCCAGCATTGATAGAAACTGGAAGTGGGATACTGAGCGCAATTTCAAGGTTCAAACCAAGTGGTTCTGAGGTCAGAGGGGCACTTTGACTAAGTCAGTATTCAGGCCTCTCCTGTCGGAAGATGGGTTCTGCCCCTCTAGCCCGGGGCTTCACTTGGGAGATGCCATTTCAAGTATGGTACCCTCCCAGGACAGTAGCCACCCTGGTTTCCATACAAAGTATCTGTATCTATGTCTGTGGTTCTAGTCAACCCAACTAAATGCCGCCCTCTTGCCTGGACAGACTGAGAGGTGACCGGGGCCAAAGTGGCCACAGTCTCTGAATTGCTGGCTGTGCTGAAGCCCCAGGACTGGGAAGGCAGCTCTGACCCATCTGTGCTCTGCCCTGCCAATCCCTCTCAGAGGGATTGACTAACCACTGGGCTCCCAGTGAGGCCCACACCTAAGAATTACAGCACGAATACAAAGGAGGATGGACAAAATACCCAAATCACTACCGCTTCCCTGAAGCCCCCTCAGGTAGCCAGGTTCTGAGTGGAAACCTGGCAAGGTCAGGTGTGCAACAAGGGAATAGTTCTGGGGGTTTGTATAAGTGTGCAAGGAGTGACTATGGTGAGAGCACACTCTCTGTTTTGATTGTGGCAGGGATGTAGTTACTTCCTGGGTCCCTTTACCCCTCTATCCTTGCTACAGAAGTAGAGAGAAATTGGCATAGGGCACAGCAGCTGGCCAAAGCTCAGGTTTCAAGTCTAAGGCCTTGCTGAGCATGGTAGTGCTCATTTGGGAGGCAGGCAGATCTCTTAAGGCCAGCTGGGTCTATGGGACAGCCAAGGAAGGCTATATAATAAGACAATGTGTCTCAAAAAAAAAAAATCAAGTTTGAAGCCTTACTGACCATGTATATGTGACCCAAAAAGGTGGCAGGGCTACCAGGGTGGGCCTGCAGTAGATGATCCTGGACGCCAACAGTGCTGTCAGCTCCCATAGACATGCTCCTGCTGCTGAAAATGAATGTTGCAACAAGGGACAGGCAGTGTGGGAAAGACCTCCTGCTTCTAGCGGGATCCCTTGCCTGGAATAAAGAACTTGAGACCACCTTCATGAGAAGAGGCTAAGGCCAGAGAGCTAGCCCAGCAGTTCCAGCCTCAGGAAGGCACCGATAGGAATGGCCATGATGCTTTCCTTCTGGGGGGTGGGGCCTGGCTATGAGCAGCTGGCCGTACCAATCAGTCTCCTGGGCTGCCCTCCACGCCACATCCCACCTGCAGGGTATGTATGCCTCAGTCTTCTGTTTACTGCCTCGCCCAGCTGGAGTGGTTTGAGTCCAGCCAGTCAGAGCACGGATGCCCACCTGCTGACCATCTGGCTGTGTGTCACAGCCAAAGACCCTAAGAGGAAGGGCCCCTTCCACCATTCAGGTCCAGCCATGCCATGGCCCAGAGCAGGAAGAGACAACATTGCTAGATAGCATGCAGCTGGGCAGAGGTGGCAGTAGTTGCAAGAGCTCCCTGGTCTGGCTAGCAACACACAAGCAGCTTCTAACCCAGACTTTTTATTGACCTGACTCACTTCAGGCTTGGCCGGTGGCCGTCATCTGGTACAGCAGCATGCAGATCCCTGGCTATGGTTTCCTCACAGTACAAAACCGCTACTCTAATAAATCTATGGAAACAGACTTTGTAGGAAAAGAAAAGTGTCTTAGCTAAGGGATCACAAAACTCCCTAGAGGGGCTGCTATAGGAGCTCAGGTTTGGTCCTTGGATGTGTGTATGTGGGAGGGAGCTAGCCTGCACTGAGAAACTGGTGGATCCCTGAAGTCACAGCCGCCCCGCAAGCCGGAGCCTCTACTCACCTGCTCTCCTCCCTACACTGGGGCAGTCAGGGGGACGAGCCCCGAAGGGTAGCTGCACCTTAAAACACGGAGCTGGTGGAAGCCTGGGGGCTTCCACGGGGCAGTGGTTCCTTAGGGGGAGGCAGCAGTAAATGCCCACCCTGCCTAGTCCCAGACCCTGGAAAGCTCACAGGCTTGAGGCAGAGAGCTCTCATGGAGGGTCTTCATGGTAAGGGAAGGTGGGCAAGAGGCACCTGCTCACTGCCAAGCCTAGTCCTCTTACTCTGGCAGTGGACTCTCCCTGGATTCAGCCCTCTGGAGGGAGTACCTCATAGTGGGGCCTGGGACTCCAAAGGGAGAGTTTATGGGGTATAGGAGGGCAAGGCTGAGCACCTTTCACGATAACAACTACAAAAGGAAGGAGCTAACTGAAGTGAGTGCTCCCCACTCCCTGCCAGTGGAGAAAGCACCAGCTTGCCAGACCCCAGGTCTAGGAAAGAGATGTGATATTGGAGCGTCCTCCAGGGGGTGCCATGATCTTCTGAGCTGTGCGTCTGGCGATGTGATCATCAGCCTGAGAACCTGAAGAAAGGGCAAGTAAGTGCGGTAAGGAGGATGGGGGGGATATAGGCTCTCCTTCCATCCAAAAGGGAAGGTGGATGTGCCTGGCTGCACCCACTAAACCAGGACCACAAAGTATCCATGCAAACTCATAAAGTGTGCACCCAGGGTTGGTTTTCTCTCCAAAGCTATGGCTGCTGATAGGGCAGGTGGCCAGGCTGGCTGCTTGTCCCTAAGGCCGGAAAGTATAGGCAAAGACCCTACAATCTGTGGGGACAAGAAGGCAAAGGCCAACCCTCTAGGAAGCCTGCCCTGTTTGGTCTCTGTGTGGCCCCTTGTAATGGCAGGAGCTTGCCCCTCCTTCAGGATGACCTTGGATTCCGAAGGACTTCCCCTGATTCTACAGATTCTGAAGGACTTCCCCTGATCCTATATCACCAAGTGAACAGGAACTATTATCACCTCCTAAGCAGATGCATGAGAGGGCAAAGACAATATAGCAATGTAGCTCCCACTCAAGGGTGGTAAAGGTGGTGGGAAGAGTCTGGCTTTGGTTTTCAGGAAAGAGGGGGGACCAGGAAGCTCCTCAGCTAGTAAAAGGCAACTCTGTTGGCCAGCACGGCAGATACATGCTAGTGTGCCCCCACGTGCTAAGGACACAGTTCAGACCCATGCCTCATACTTCACCAGTGAGTCTCAGCTTGTGGGACTGAGAGAGTTGTATTATAACGAGTCTCCACAGAGGGGACACCTCTCTTCCCATGGACACTAACATTCTATGTTGAGTCCTGGGCTGACATGTCCTCTCCAAGATTGACTGATTCAAGGTGCTGATTCATACATCTCAGCAGCACCCCAAAGGCAAATGATGGACAGAAGTGGGCTTCCACAGCAGGGGTCACACCTCTTTGCCCCTCATAAGGCCCCAAATGAGGCCCCTTCACCAAGGTCAGTACCTCCTACTCTACAGCATCCATACTGGCTGTCCACAGGTCTACCCCTGGGTTTGCCCTGTGTATATACAGGTCCAAGTCCCCAGCTGAGCTTAGAGCCCTCTGGGAACAGGCTAGACTTGGCCAAAAAAAAGCCTCTTACACTATGCCCAGACCCAACTCACCAGATAGGCTGAACCCCGACTGGTGCAGGTTACGCACAGGTGGCACTGAGATCTTGCCCGGACAGGATGCACGAGCTGGTGTGCCACCCCCTGGCTTGGCAGGTAGCATTACCTCATGGACAGGCCCATCATACAGGCCTCGGGGCACACCATGGATCTCTGCTAGCTGTGGGGCCAAGAGAGCTGGGGGGTTAGCCAGTTAGGTTGATGGAAGGTAACACCCTGCCTCTCTGCTCTATACCCCAACTTGTCCCTGCTCAGTAATCCCTTGTTTCCCTACAACACATCTTCCTCAATCATCCAACACACATGGTTACATCTGTGCCTAGTTCTAAATGAATGTGTGTGTACGCGTGCGTGTGCACACACACACAGAGAGACAGAAACAGAGACAGAGGAGGGAGGGAGGGAGAAAGAGGAGAGAGAGAGAGAGAGAGAGAGAGAGAGAGAGAGAGAGAGAGAGAGAGAGCAATGTAACTTCAGTCACAAAAATGTTCAAGGAAGACTTTAAGAGCAAAGCAGCCCCATCTGGAACTGGAATGGGATCCAGATCCCAGCTGTGGTCAGGAAGCAACATGGAATAAGGTTCTAGGTCTTGTCTGCCCTGAAAATGACTCCCAAAGCCCAAAGCATTTCCCAGGGCCCCAGCATGGACCCGAGGACATGGGCCTGTACTCCTGGCTGGCACCTCCTTTTGGACTTCTGGGTCTACTTGACAATCTTGTCTGAGGCTGCCCTAGATCCTATTGACAAGAGGGGAGGGGTGTCACTGCACAGTAAATGCCAGAGGGTAGGACCGAAACATTTTCCACTACCATGTTCCCACCTCCCTCTGCAAATGGGACTGGGCCTTCCTCATACAGAACTGTCCTCTACAGGCTCCCAGGGTCTCCAATCCCACCCTCCTCCTCATAGAGGGAGTAGAGATCGGGTGGTGCACTTTGGACTGTACTAGCATCTTCATGGTAATTCACTCAGGGAGGTGGTTATGAGTTTATAACCATATTTCCTATAGACAGCTGTAACAAAAGATATACACCACCACCGAGTAAGCAGCTGATGGGCACAGGAGGGACCACGCCTGCCGATGGCCTCCTGGCAACTTCCAATACAACAGGCAATGATCAGCAGGCCTTGGGCAAATGATGGCTTCCATTCTGCCTTCCAAAGCCACATCAGCCACGAGGCAGAACCTCACACCAGTGCCCTCTGACTGTACTGGGAACTCCACGCCTACCACCCACTTGATGTCCTGTCACCCCAGGTCAGCCTCTTACCCTGTTACGAGCCTTTATCCTCTTATAGACAAAGTCGGGGAACGTCTTCCGGGGAATGAAGCGGCCAGCCCCTGGAGTGACAAACAGGTTCCCGTCTTCCAGCACCACTCTGCCCTGACTTATGACCACTGTGGGCACTCCTCGGCACTCCACTCCTTCAAAGATGTTGTACTCTACATTCTGGGGAGAGGCCCACAGAGGCAGCTTCCTTCAGCTCTGACCCCCAAGCTGGCCAGCACTATAGGTAACCTGCACATGCTGTACTAAGCCCCCACCCAGAAAAAAAGGCAACTGAGGCAGACAAGTGACATACCAAAGAAATTACCCTCAACCGACCGGGCACGGCTAGTCACGAGATTCATATGAAGTCAAAGGGAAGAGACTGAGGGGTTACCTGTCCTTGCCTAGGCAGGTGTGGTACCCTCTGCCTCAGTCTCCGTATCTATAGGATGGGTCAACAGACCCAGTCACATACCCTTGAGGACAACAGATGTGGCTCTGGACAGGTCAAAGCTACTAACTGAGCCACACTGATGTGGACATCTGCCACCTATGCTGGTGACTCCCCTGGGAAGCAGGTCCAGCTAGGCCCCGCAAAGGACGGTGGCATTCTCACCAGGTTGTGGCTCTTGGCGGAGATGACTTTGGTGGCCCTAGGGTTCCAGATAACCAGGTCAGCATCAGAGCCCACAGCCACACGCCCCTTCCTGGGGTAGAAATTGAAGATTTTGGCAGCATTTGTGCTGGTCACAGCAACAAACTCATTCTCGTCCATCTTCCCTGAAGCCTGAGAAGCAGAGAGCCAGCTGAGGGGAATCATAGGCTACAGATGTCATGGGGCATCCCAAGCTCAGGAGGGGCCCCAGCCCCAGCCTCAGCATGGCAATAACCCAATGGATGCCCACCCAGACAGGGCACCAATGACAGTGACCAGGTAGTCCAGTGGTATGACTGCTCCAGTGGACGTGGCCCCATTTCTAGCTGCCTCTGTGAATAAATGACGATACTTTGATACCAACACTGATGTCCCTTAAGACACTGTGACAGTCACCCTGGTTTGTAGGTATGGCAAGACAGGAGCCAGGATGCAAAGGAAACCTGCCCTCTACCTGCCTGTCCACATGCCTGCCTGCCTGCTGGCCCACCTGCCCTTCCTCTCTCCCTTCCTTTCTCCTTGCCTCCCTCCTTGCCCCCCCCTCCTTCCTGACAAGTTTCTGCTGTGTAGCCTAGGCTGACTTTAAATAGCTCCGCCTTAGCTTCTAGGGTGCTGGGGCTACAGGCCTACACCACTTTGCCTGGCTATAATGAATTCTTTTTTTAAAAAGCTAAAGTTTTCATGAACATATAACAATTACATATTTATGGTATACAGGACATTAGCCTCCAGGGAGGAAAATGCACAGATGTGATAGTATCATCCTGAGTAGAGTCTATGTGCCATGGACTGCTAAACTCAGGCTTGAAGGGATAAGACTGCTCTCTCATGAGCATTTCTGGTGGTGGGGTCCTCCCACAGCATGCTGCTGATAGCCCTTGCCACACCCACATGCCCCCAGAAGCAGACTTACCACACATTTCTCCCAGACTACAGACATGCGTTCTTCTACACCATTGATACCCTCTGGAATCAGGGTGAAGTTGTCTTTGCCAACGGCCTTCTGGGCAGTAGTGAAGGTGCAGTGTGCACTGCCTGTAACCTGGAGATCCCCACTGAGAACAAGCCAGGGATAGAGTGACTCAGGGGCTGGCTCTCCTGAACTGGCCAAAGCTAGGTCAGCTCCGGCCACCTGGTCAGCCAGCCAAGGCTATGAGAGATCTGAGCTGGCACTTAAGTACAGAAGGGAGAGAGTGGTCAATGCAGGCATAACATGGAGGGTGTGGACAGGATCACGAGGAGTCAGGAGCAGGGTGTAGGGTGGGGAACCCCAGCGGGAACCAGAGAGCCTTGTACCTCCCCAAATGGCTTTCCTGAAGAAGCCTGGGATTCCTCTGGGGGTGTCTGGAGGAAGCACAGACTTGGAGGCCTCAGGCTGAGCTGAGCTTTGGTGGGGTGACTGCTCACCTGGACAGCAGGGAAGTGAGGTGGTCTGCAGTGGTAGGGTCTGGGTTGATAGGAGGTGAAGTGACGAAGGCCGCAGCCTTGGCCCAGTTCTTGCTCCAGCAGTGTGAGCCATCAGTGCCCAGGCTGGCAGTGATAGGTTCTCCAAAGACGACCACGCCTAAGGTGAGCAAGGCTTATGGCAGGCACCCCACCAACCTGCACCCACGAGGAGCCTGAGCCCAGCATGGTCTTACACTGCTACCTCTCTGCTCCTTGCTTTCATGGCCATGGAGAGCTTGTTCTCTTTTCTGGAGCCCCTGACTAGTCACTGGCGCTGTGGGGTGGTTCTCTGGGAGGTGTGGTGACTGAGACAATGATCCTTTCCATACCCACAACCTCTGCTGGAGATCAGGCTACTGGGCCACAGGGTAGGACTTGACTAATTAAACCTGTCTATTCAGAAGCCCTGAGTCCCAGGCCTGGGCCTTGTACCAGAGCTCAGAACTAGGCTGAGGCTGTTCCTCTAAGTGAATGGGAAAGCACCAGGCTCAGAGCGGGGTGGGGGCTATTCCTGCTGTAGAGTAGCTTCTTGGGAGGAGGAGTGGGGCTCCTGGGTGATCCCTTCAGGCCCTGCTTAACCTGTGCTGGTAACGCTACTGATTCTCTCCCTTGTAAACATGGTGGGTTTCTGTGCCAACCTCTGGGAAGAAAACTTGTCCCTGTACACATCTACTTCCACCCCCAGGGACTTCACAGTCTCAAGGCAGTGCTAGGAAATAAGGTCTCATTATGAGACTGGGTGGGGAAATGGATGCAAGATCCTGCATTGTTCTTGAAAATGCTGCCTCTTTTATGTATGACCTTTGTCTTATGCCCCAATCATGCCCTCTCCGGTGCCCTGGTGACTCCTGAGGCGTCTCTGGTCCTCTGAGCTCACAGCCTTTCTGTGAGCCACACAGTCTAGCCCCTGGCAACCACAGTTTGCCAGGACACAGGTGTCTGCCTCTATCTTGTCCAGGAGCTATGGTCATGGAGTCCCTCGGCCCCCAGGATGTGTACCACAGCTCCTGAACCCATAGCAAATATGTGAGCTCCGCTGTGGAATTGAGAATTCCTTTTGGATATGTACTCAGAATTCTGCCCTTGGGTCACCTGGGAACAGATACACAAGGCCCCAGTTTGCCAAGGACCCCTAATAGGCAGCTATTACTTTAACAAGGCTGGAGACTCCGATCCAGCCCATCCCAACTTGCCTTGAGCCTGTGCCCCTAAAACTAACATAAGCAGGTGCCCCATGAAGAGTCTCACTTTTCCATTGGGTCTTCCCTCCTTAGCACCTAGAGGTCCTTAACTGTCAACAGAGCTCAGGGAGGATGGGAACATGTATGAAGCAAGCACTGGCACTCACCTCTGCGCTTGGCTTGGGCAACCATGTCAGCCGCTCCCTTGCTCATCACCTTGGTGATGTATAGTGGACAGTTGGCTTGCTTGGCAATGGTGACTGCTCTGTACACAGCCTCAGCCTCTACCTGAAGATGGTGAAGGGAGGGGGCAATCAGAACACGAGAAGCCTTGAGACTTGCTGACCAAGTGAGTTCTAGGACACCCAAAGATCCCCTAGGAGACTGTAAGCACTGGAGGCATGCACCCCTGTTGGAGCAAGGGCCCAGCCTTCGGCTCAGAGTCTAGAATCTGGGTTGATCCACACAGTTCTCAGGATCCAAGTGTACTGCCTTCTTACCTCAAGTAAGTGCTGCGGGGATGACAAGTGGGTGAGATGGGTACTGGGCAGATGAAGAGTCATTGCATTAAGCCCCCAAGATGAGGATAGGATGAACAAGGTACAGCTTAGGCCACGAAGCAGGACCAGGAGGGAAATGGTATTCTCAGCAGGGCAGACTTACCTCTTCTGGGTGGCTGAGAACATGGCCCTCAGGGCCAGTGATGCCTTGCTCCAGTAGGCGCTTTTGTTCCTAAATGATCAACAAGACACTTTGCTTCAGCCCCAAGGATCCCAAGCCTCAGATGTGAGGTGCCTGGCGGCAAGCCCCATACCTTAAGCATAGTCCTGAGCCCCTGAACATCCCAGAATAGAGCAACCTCGAAGAACATACAGCAGAGTGGACTTGGGGAAGGCCAGCCCAAGGCACAGGCTATTGGCAGGCAATCAGCCCCCTTGCCCCTCTTGACCCTTGGTGTCACACTGCAGTTTCTCAAGGAACTGGCAAGGGTATTTTGGTAAGATCTGTGACCACCATGAAAAACCCAGGTTGCAGTTTCAATGTCCTTTAAGACCTCTAACTCACAGGTTGTTTGACCTTTGGCTTGATATGTCCTTCCTCCTTGGAAATCTTGTTCCCATCCAGGTGTCACAGAGGCCACAGCTCTCATAAGATCTCCACCCAGCTTTGCCTGCCCACTGAGGCTCACATGCTAGGCATCAGCTTGACCCACCCAGCCAACCCCATGGGCAGCACAACCTCTCACACCTCCTCCACGATGTCCCCATTTTCTGCATGCACTTGGGCTAAGGCTCCCAGGTCCCGGATGAGGCTGAAGATCTCATACATCTGTGAAGAAGGCAGACAGAGTCCTGTGTTTGGAGGGTGCTCTCTCCAACAACAGCCCAAGACACCCCACTTGTTCATTCCCTTTGAACTTGGCCTCACCTGACCATCGGTACACTGGCACCTGTCCTTGTATGCCATGAAGACCAGGAAGGAATTCACACCTGGAAAAGAGGCTAGAGGGGCTCAGACACCAGGAGAGAAGATCAGAGACAGGGATATTTCTCCCACAGAAGCTGTGCGGGATAGCATAGAATCCTGCAGGCAAACCTTCCCCCATCAATAAGCCAGGCCACATGGACAGAGCTGGCTATGCCCTAGCCATTCCCTCACTGCTGCTCAAGTTTGGGACTGTTTGCTCACCTAGTGGGCATGCAGATAAGAATGTACCTACTACCACCACCACCTGTCATGCAGATCTCCATTCCTACAAGACACAGAGCAGTGTAATTGGCTTGTGGTCCAATCCCCAGGAGCTCTCTTCAGGACAAGCAGCCAGGCCTGGCATTCCGGAGTAGCCTCTCTTGGGCCATCTGTCATGTCACCTGCCTACAGGTCCTGAGTCCTGCTTCACTATGCCACAGCTCATTGTGAATGTTTATGACACTTCTAGAGGGGCAGGCAAGTCTCAGGGCTGAGACCTCAGACACAAAGGAGGAAGAGGGGCTGATGTCCACAATATTGGAGTCCAATCAGGAGCAAGGCTGGGCCTGCCTAGCTCCTGGACAGCCAGAATATGCCTACCTCCCAGGACCAGGACCTATGACAGTCCATTGAGGCATAAAGGCAGGTCCAAACCCATCCAGCCAAGGGCCCTTGTCCCCCTTGCTGGACAGAAAGTAACAATGTGGGTAACACTGAGAGGAACTGCGTCCTCCTGTGCCATCATCCCAGGTGATGTCTTGCATGTGATGTCTGATGGCAATTTCTGATTAGAAGTCAATCCTGACAGGGAGAGTGAGCTCTGTGGGCACCTGGTTCAGAGAGGCTGCAGAGTCTGAGTGTCACCTGGAGAGAAGATTCCACTATACTCAAGTGGAGTAGGTGTGGGGCTCCAAAGGACACCAGTGTGAGGACTGTCATTCTCTGGGAACTGTGACCCAGAGGAGATGGCCTTGGGGTGACAGCAGACAGGCAGCAGTGTCCCTTATGAGTGCTCTTCTGTGAGCTACAGACACCACATGGAATGCAGCGATAAGGCAAGCATCCATCACAGTATGACTTTTTTGCCAAGCCCACTGAGAAATCTGGTGTGGTTTTAGCTTTAGGATAATTGCATAGAATGGAATATTTATTAACAGATAGTTAGCTTCAATACAGAGCCTAAGAGAATCTCTTAAGAGAAAACCCAAGTGATGATAAATGTGGCTACTTTTTTGTCTTCTGGGCATCTCTTTTGTAGAAAACAGAGAACCAAGATTGCATGATCAGGGCAGTTTCTGTGGGAAGACCAATTACAGGATGTGTTCATGACATAGGCCCTTCTTGCCCAGAGTATTGGAAAGCACAATTGACTTCTCCAATGCAATTCCTAAATGCCTGCCTTCAGATCAGGCTGGCAGACTGCAGCAAATACCAGGGGATCTAGAAACCACCACCACCCCGGCCCTGGTCTGTGCATAGCGATCCTCGGGTTCCACCACCCATCACCGCTGCTCACCTTTGTCCCTGACTAGGGCCTCCAGCTCCTCTTTGGTGCTCTCATGCCAGCGGGGAATGTCCACATGTAGGGAGTAGTCACAGCAGGCTGCACTGTCCGCTCGCTCCCGCCACTGCTCATAGGCCGCCAGCAGGCTCACACCAGGCTCAGGAAATACATGGTCCACTGTGGAAGGGCAGCACATTCAGCCCCAAGACTGGCCAGGGTGTCCCACTATTGTCTCCAAGGGGGATTTGGCTTCACATTCTGGAGACCAGAGTAGGACTTGAGGAAGACACAGCAAAGGGGGGTCCTGTCCTGCCACCTCTCTTCCTTCCAGTCAGCTCATAGGTATCTTCAGTGCCATGTCCCTCCAGCCTCTCTGAGTAGCGCTCTGGGAGGGGAGCCTGGGTTCAAATCACCCACTTCCTGAAGACCTTGGCTCCTCAGGGAACACAGTGTGGCCCTGTGGACATGAGTGTTTCTAGAAAACTTCCTCCACTGAGTCAGTTTCCACGGCCTCGCTGACTCCAAAAGCCCCAAATAGTACAAATCATCCCTACACATGTCCACCATGTTGTCTCCTTCCCATTCAAGGAACAAACACTGCTCACTGGCTAATCCTGGGATGTGCCAGGAGAGAGCTCAGAGGGGCTACTAAAACAAAATGGTGCACTTCAGGAGCCAGTGGCTGCTTCACCATGCCATACTCCCTGCACCCCTACCCCATTTGTCCATCACTCAGATCACCAGCCAGGACCCTGGGAGTGAACACATGCATTACATAGCCTATGCTTTAGCCTCATGTGCATGCCAAAACACGTGGTATTAACAGTGCAGCTGTGCTGGCCCACCTGACCCACACCTGGCCCACCTGGCCCACCACATGCACTTGAGCTGCAGTAGCCTGAGGTGGCATACCTTGCTGCTAGTTTTCCACTCTGTCTGTGACAGAGTGAACCAAACCAAGCTAATGGCTGAGTGTTGTTGTGGAGTGCCCAGAGACTCCAGCAGCAGGGACAGTATTTACTGTGTTCCAGTGCACAAAGAAATTTGTGTGGTAAATCTTTTATCCTCAGCCTCTAGAGGAGAGGAGAGACCCTTTCCTCCCCCTGTGAAGGCATACAGCATGAGTATGTGGGGTCATAATATTGAGACCAGATACAGAAGTGTGCACAGAAGGAGTTCAAACAGAGTAGTTAATATACATGTCCTGTTTCAAACATCACAGCCTCAATTCTCAACACAGGCAATAACTTACTGCAGACAGACATCAGAGGCAAGGTTCAGGCTCAACTCTCCTAGTTTAGAGCACTGCGATTTCTGAACCCCAGTTCCTGGCCAGCAGCCAGTGCCCTGGAAGGAGTAAGTGGGCACACATCTGCTTATCCAGAGCCCATCAGCATCCTAGAGTTAGCCAGGGCAGCTGGCCCAGAAAGAGAAGGAGGGATGGCAGGGGTGTGCTCAGCATGTTTTAGATGGAGATAAAATAGAGAAACAGAACCACCCCATGCAACAAGGAAATGGGCCATGCCCTATCCCAGCATGCCTAAGCATCTATAGGAACCCAGACTCATACTAAGTATTGGATAACACGAAAATATACATGGAAGCCAAAGCCATTGTGCTATTCAAGGCTTCATGACTACCTGGCAAGTGGCCTGCACACACACTCACGTATCATAGTGGTCCCGCCCGCTAGGGCCGCCTTGGTGCCTTGACAGAAATCATCAGCTGGGGTCATGCCCAGCACAGGCATCTGCAGCCGGGTGTGGACATCAACTCCCCCAGGCAGTACCATCAGACCATGAGCATCGATGGTTTTGATGCCCCCAGGGACGATGAGGTTTTCTCCAATTTGTCTGAAAGCAACAAAAAGATTAGTCACTTCATAGAGAACTCAGCTCAGAACTCGAACAAGCTCCATGGCAGTGGCTCTAAGAAGTGAGGGCCTGGAGTCATGACCGTGAGAAAAAAAGCAGGCCCGATGACTACCTGCCTGCCCAGGTGCTAGAAAATAAAACTCGGGAGGGCAGTGCGTATAGGGCCCAGTGCTGTGCCAACATGGCTTTCCTCCTTGTCTCCTCTGAAGTCCCTGCTTGCTGTCTACTGACTGTAACTGGGAGTCCCTATTTGGTGTCTACAGACCCGCTGGAGCTCTGTGACACATAAAGCAGAGGCGTGAATAGATCAGTTTTTCTGCTTATCTGCAGGAGCCCAGACTTGTACTAAGTGCCACGACAATATAAAGATACATGGACACTGGACCCATTGTGTTCCCCAAGGCCTTATGTTTATCTGGTAAGACTATTGTGCCTCAAGGACTGTTCCCAGGGTCGGGGTTTTGGAAAAGAAAGCATTCACATGCTTTTCACCCCAAAGCAGGCACCTGACTGCCAAGTAACCAACATTCACACATACACAGGTGTGCACATACCCCTGTGTAGAAACTTACTTAATCAGACCATCTTCCACATACAGATCAGCATAAAAGGACTGGTCATCGTTCACAATCTTCCCCCCTTTGATGAGAAGGCGGTCACTCTGACAAGAGACAAAACAGAGGGTGCTCATAGAGACTTTCTGGGTCATTAGCAACTTCTTGCCCTAGAATGACTGAAACATTTTGATGCATTTTGTAGCCATAAGAACAAGCTCAGGGTTGGAGAGATGGCTCGGCGGTTAAGAGCACTGACTGTTCTCTCAGAGGACCCGGGTTCATATCCCAGCACCCACAGGGTAGTTTAAAACGGTAACTCTGATTCCAGGGAATCTGACACCTCCATACCAATGCACATAAAATAACGTTAAACAAATTAAAAAGAGAGAGAGACCCAGCTCAAAGGTTTATTTGCAGTACTCCAAAACAGGGTGCTCGGAGCAGTGTCCAACGTGACCCTGGCACTAACAGTTGAGCAGATGTTGAAGGCATGTGTGTTTAGAGGGGGCGTGGGGTTGAAGCAGGCCAAAGCTGTGTTGGTGAAAGTATAGGGAAGCAGCTGCTACATTAAAACCTTCCATCTGACCATCAGAAAGAAGACCCGCCTAAGGAAAGACCTGGTGACCTCACCATTCTCAAGTGGCACCTGGCTGCTTCCCTCCCACCTGTACTGACTAAGCTAGGTGGGCAATAACACAGCCAAGCTCTTCACCAGAATGCTACAGGCCCACAGTGGTGCCAGAAGTGTGGGGCAGATCAGATGTCAGATATCTTAGTCTTGACGCCAAAGGTTACAGCCTAGGGATAGACCGATGGAGACAGTGTGCCTCTACTACTCTCCTCCAAGGCTCAGGTCGTCAAACTGGAACAGACAGAGGAACACAGAGACAGGGCGAGGAGAATTCGGGCTACCTTGAGCATCACAAGGGCTTTTCTGGGGAACTAGCGTGATGTGGTGGGAGATTGTTACAGCCTAGGAAGCAGCCGTACAAGGGTCCTCGAGGCAGGAAAGCCCTTGGGTTGGTTTTAAGCCTCCAAACATAAGAGCTACAACTAATGGGAAGAGCAAGAGGAAGAGCTGGGACCAGAGTTGTGAAGTTGGGACATACAAGGTTTTGGGGTCCATGGGATGACACTGGGGGCAGAAGCATTTGATTCGTTCTGACTAATACAGAGATCACCTGGGCTGTCGGGGAGAAAAGGGATTACGGTGCGGAAGGGGAACACAGCTGCTGCTTGAGTGGCTTCATAGGTTGTTCAGGGAAGGGGAGAGGCTCTTGGCCAGTGTTATGAACTTGAGCATGAGAAAACAGTTTTGACGGGGGGTGGGGTGGGGTGGAGGTGGGGGGTGCTGGGAATTGATGGGCAGGACTAACAGAGAGGCCATGAGCATGAAGGACCGGAACAGGGGTGGATCAGATGGCCACAGGCTCTGATGCAGTGTAAAGACATCCTCATGGGTGAAGAAAGGGTAAGGCCATCTCCCTGTGGGCTAACCTTGGCAAAATGGAGGCATGGAATCTGATTGGTTCTGATTTCTCTTTGTCCCATAAGACAGACATTTCTAAGGCCACCCAGGAGGAATGAGTCAGGCAGAAAGTAGAAACTGCAGATGACCTCAGCATGGACCTCAGAATCGATGGCCCAGCTGTAGTGAACAGTGGAAACACAAGAGATGCACATGCATGTGAGAGAGACCTACGGATGCCCCTCGCCTACCCATCATGAGCCACAACTCTCCCTGTGAATTCACCAGGGAGGGCACTCTATACTCCACAAGGAAGCCTGGCCATATGCCCCCAAATTCCTGTGACCCATGTGGCAGCCGGGCCAGGCCTCTGCACCAGCTTCAGCTCTCATGCCATCAATCTGAGACCAGAAGAGCCAGCTGAGAGTGTGGCGAGCAGAACCCTGTGAGCCTATAAGGATGGGGGGTCTTTTGTACAGATCAAGTTCTGACCTACGGCTAAGTGTCGGTCTGAATTCTCAGGGTTCTCCTGTTCTACCACCACCACACAGTCTTCAAAGGGCCTGGCAACTAGGGCACAGCCCATATCACCCAGCCCTCTGCCTGTACAGCCCCCAATCACAAACAGTTTTCAAGTTTTGTATTGGTTGGGGGAGAAAATGAAAGGAATGCCTTGTAAACATTTTATGAAATCCACATTTCAATGTCTACAGGTGAAATTCATAGATTCACTCATGTCTATGAAACCACTCTGCCCATGGGGCCTTAAGTGTGAGTCAGACATGGTATGGCCCACAAAGTTGAAGGGACTTACCACTTGGCCCATCATAGAAGTAGCTTGTTGACCATACCAAGCCCGGCTGCAGCTCAAGTCTCTCTCCAAATGTCTGTAGGTGCTCACTGAGCAGCCCTACTGTGTACCAGTGTCTACCAGGCCTACCACAGCCACCCACTTTGCAGGGCTGCAACTATGGACCACACCCCTTCTCTTCCCCCTTGTTCTAGCCATTCTCAGAAAAAGCTAGGAATACTCAGCCATTAGGAGAAATCCCTGAGCCAGAAATCTTGAGTTCTGGGGTCCGTATTTAGACTCCTGTTTTCAGGCACCAGAATTTGCATTCTGGGGTCCTCCTGGGTTTGGGAGAACAAGTAATGCTGTGATAAGCCCCTTCTAGATGAATGGGGGTTCTGGTGGGCCCACTCCATCATCATGAACAGGACTGCCTGGCTGGGCAGGAGCCTGCCATCACCATCTCCACTCACTGCCCCTGGCTGATCCACTTCCTCCTTAGGTCTGTATCCCTAGGAGTAGTAAGCAATCAAGAGGCAGAAACTAATTCTGGCCCCTATGACAGGGGTCGGTTTCCTCTTTGAGTTTGTTTGTTGTTGTTTTTGTTGTTTTGTTTTTTCCTAAAGGCAAGGACTGCCCCAGAAAGCTAGGGAGGTGACCTCCTCAACAGCCTTAGATTCCAGGGCTTTTATGTTGAGAACAAGTCCAGAGTTTTTTGAGACCTTCTAGAGCTCCCCGACCTGGTCCAGCTGATCCCAAGAGCCTCCCTTTCTTCCTCCCAGGCTTCGGGCCATTCCCCACCCCCTCCTGAGGGAAGGCTTTGTTTCCTGGACGGCTGGGTGGACACACAGACCTTCTACTTTCTGCATATCTGTTTTGGGGAGGTCTGTCCTGAAAGGGTGTGCAGCAGGGATGCTGGTCGGATTGGTCACTTAGTACTTACCTCCCGTGGAGAGTCCGAACCCAGCTTCATGCAGGGACTCCAGGGGCACCAACCAGATCTAGTAGTCAGGGCTAAATCGCTTTGTCTCGGACAAAGCTCTAAGGACACGGAAGCGGCGCGTCCAGGGGGTAGGGTAGGATGCCCACGGGCTGCTCTAGGAACAGCATCCGACATCGGAGTGCCCTCAGGCCCGGGGCCAACAAAGGATGCGGCCACCGGCTATCCTGGAGACAGAACTCCAGGCAATGTCCGCTTCATCCCCATCTGCCCCACTCAGACTCGGCAGGAGGCTGGCCACCTATGCTCCGGGTAGCAGGCCGCTCACCCCGCCTCTCCAAACCTAACACCGGAGAATCCAAACAGCTGGTGGGCTCCTGGCCTGTGAGCCAGCTGAGCAATGGGTTCCGCGCGGCCTGGAGAGCTCTCTCCGTAGCTGGCAGCACACGAAGGAGAGGAGAGGGAGGGCTGGCGCCTGGCCGGGGACTAGAGCAGGCGTGGGACTCACAGGCTGGGCCCAAAGGATCGTAGGCTGCGCTAGCAAGCCACTCCCGCCGTGGGCAAGGGGCGCCAGACGCAGCGGGGGCGGGGGCGGGGGCCCGACTCACCGTGATCCGGGGAATGCTCTTCTTGCCTTGGAAGGACATCCTGATCCGCGGGCGGGCTGTGAGTCCCCAGTAGGGGCTGCGCGGGCGCGGACGTGCCGGCGGGGACACGCGCGGAGCTTAGGGAGTCCAAGTGTGAGCCTGCCGGGCGCAGGGCTCCGAATAATCATTTGCATATGGGCCCCGCCCATCGACCTTCATTTGCATCCGGGCCCCTCCTCCCTGCTCTCGTTTGTGCTAGCTTGACAGCAATCTCTCCCGATCTCCCTCTCTTCTTCCCTCTCTCCTTTTCTTACCTCCCTCCCTCCCCCTGGAGGCCACAGGCGGTGACCTCTGCACCTAAGTCCGTCTGTGCAGAGTGGAGAGCAATGGGTTGCGACCTGTCGGGACCAACATATATGAAGTTTACATTCGGGAAAGGACAGGAAGAGAGGTGCCTGTCCAGCCTGGCCCCGCCTAGCCTTATTCCGTGGTGGCCCGAGGCACCCCAGGTTCCAGTGTTCAAAACTAATTCTCACATCTAGGCAGAGACGATGCAGGAGCCAGAATCTAGCCTGGTAACTCTGGCAAAATCCAGACATCTTCAAGGAATGGCTTCAGGCTGGAGCGCAAGAGCCTGGAATGACGTGACCGTGGACGGTGGTGCCTAGGCAGACTGTTCTTTGGCAGACCGTACCAGTCTAGGGCAGGAAAGAGAGAACAAATTGGAGGGACAGAGAGAAACAGCCAAGACACAAAGAGATGAAGATGAAAGGGCTGGACTGGGGGCCAGGAAAGAGAGGTAGAAACTCAGGGTAGAGAAATCCAGTGAAACCATAACTGACAGACACTCCTCTAGTCCTAAGGGCTGCCTGCCCAAAGCCTGGGTCCCTGCTTCCTCTATATGTTGAATCCTGTGGTCTGGGGCCATGCTGGGCAGCCCTGGCTCTTCAGGGTCTTTACACTGGCTCCTTCCCGGTGTACCTCAAGAACTTGAAGACCTTTGTGGCTGCTAAGTGATGCATCAATTGGTAGCATCTTGTTTCCCAAGGCAGGGGAAGACAACGCCAAGTTTGAGCACATCCAGAGGTTTCACAGACATGTGGGGATATGGTGCCATCATTGTGAGAATGGGAGATTTGTGGTCAAGTGAACTCGGGCCCCCAGCATAAGGTCTGTGCGCAGGATATGTAGAACTGGGCTTGTAGCAGCAGCCTCATAGTCTCTCCCACACTTACGCCTTTCTGAGCTGATGCTGTCCATGAGCAGAGGGTGCTGAAAATGCTGGGCAGAACCAAAGGCACTTACTGTCCTAAAGTTCTTGGTGGCTTGCCCTCAGGACACTTCTGCTCCACACTCAGAAGGCATGGTAAGAGCCATGAAGCTGGTGTCTATTCTACTCCAGGTGCTGTGGGAGTGTCCATATTAGATCATGATGTAAGAAGAGGGTCTAAGGATCTGTAAAGACAGCCTATTCTAAAGCCAAGGTCAAGAATTTGGGATGAGACAAGGCAGGGGTGCTCTCAGACACCCCCCCAGCCCCAGAAGGCCATGAACAATCATTGTTGTCATTGTGGAGTCTACAGATATGGATTTTAAATAATTAAAAAAACCCACCTTCACACTGTCCAATCAGTCAACTCCTTTCAAATATATGCTGGGACAATAAGTTGCTGGAACACTCTATTGGGGGGCCATGGGCCAGCCAAGGTAGCCAACTGCTCCTATTAAGATACCAAAGGTTGCCAGGTGGTGGTGGTACACACCTTTATTCCCAGCACTTGGGAGGCAGAGGCAGGTGGATCTCTGTGAGTATGAAACCAGCCTGGTCTACAAGAACTAAATCCAGGACAGGCTCCAAAGCTACACAGAGAGATCCTGCCTCAACAAAACAAAACAAAGATGCCAAGGTTCTTTTCCTTTCCTTAGCCACTTGAATTCTTCTCCATGCTACTATGTACCGGGTAAAGCCACTGGAAGAGACCTCCTGGTAGCCACTCTTAGTGGCTGCCAGATTCTTCTGACTAAAGGGCTTTAGGTATCTCTAGATGAGGCTGCAGGTAAGGTATGTGCAAGGTCCAAATTTCCTTTCTGGCATGGAAAGAGGCACTGCTGGCCACATGGTAAAGACAGAAAAGGCTAACAGATAATAAATTCACACTTTAATAATACTCATGGAGACTCCTTGAGCTAGGATTTAAAACAAGTTTTATTAAAACTGTACAATAATTTACAAATAAGTAAAAATTCTCTGGTATATATTATAGGAACCACAATACAAAAATATGTGTAAAATTTATAACTGCCCACCATACAAACCTAGATTAAGCCTGGGAATACTGTTTAGCACTGAACAGAAAGGTCGCGTGTTTAGAGGGGTGTGTGTTAAGGATTGCTTCATTGAACACAAATACTTCCTGGCACTTTGCCATGAGAAACCAAGTTCTGCTCCTTTTTGCATAAGTTTACAATAAAGCTTTTTTTTTTTTAGAAAAGATACAATAAATATATGCTTTGATACATATATTCACAATATGATTTTCCTGAGCCTAAACTTAAATCCATCACCGTGTAATAACACACAACCCACCGTAAGGGTTCAATGACGGAGTGATGGCAAGAGCCGATCCACTATCAGTGCCTCAAAGCCACTCTCCACCCTCCCTCCTGACTCCCAGGTGGTGTTTACAAGCCATATAAGGCACTCAGGTTTCCTGAAGGCTACAGAGTCTGCCAGGGCAGAGACTTAAGTCACAGCCATAGGCCTTCAGCAACAGAACGCTAGACCATGGAAACGAAGTAGACACCACATGGCTGTTCATGAAGGACTCTGCGGTTTATGTGGATTTCTAGTTTAGACAAACGAAAAAGGTTTATTCCGTTCTGTGTTGTGCACACAGAGTGAGCAGGCTGACAACCCACACCTCAGTGACACAGTTTGAGTTCCTGGGGGACATGTCAGGATCCCTCTCCTTGCTTCAGCAAGGCAGTGCCATGAGCACAGATGCCTGTCCTGTTTTAGGAGCTAGCAGCAAGAGCTCAAATGTGGGAGGGATCACGTCTAACCCAGCCCTTGGTGATAGGTTCAGTCTGGGATTTAGAAAATGCACCTTACTTTTGAAATGATTGAGCTCTTCAAATACTCACTGGCGGCAAGAATCAGTAACAAAGACTCACATGTACACCCCCCTCACACACACACCCAAAGTTCAGAACCAACATTGGGATCATGTGACAAGAAGGTGCTTATGACACATTGAATAAAAACCATGAGATGTAAGGAGAGTACAGCCTTCCAGCTAATCATGTGCTTTCAGGAACACATCTGGGTGGAAATGCAGTTTGGTTTGTGGGATATTATCTAACATTCTCTGAGCCATTTCCCTTTCTATGTATATATACTTTACACATAAACAATAATGACTTCATGAGCACTGGTACCTATTTACACGCTTCTCTTTCTTGTACAGTCTTTCTTCAAAACAAACAAACAAAAGGTTCCCAGATCTGTGATTTAGTGTCAGTGGATATTAGGAAATTATTCCAGACACTCCCACACATGCAAAGCCATGATCCAACAAAACCAGAGGGATGTGAGGTGGGGTGAGTTTCCAGTGGAATTTTTGTTTGTTTCCAATCAGCTACTGTTCTCTTGCAAGTTCACTAGGAACTGTGCCAGGACCTCTGGTAGGCAGGAAGCTGCATGGAACTGAGACAGTTTCCAGACATGTCTCTAACCCAGTGGTTTCCCTCACCTACAGATCTGGCAGCATTGCTAATACAGGCTATTGCTGCCATTCGGTGCTGAGTACAGCAAATGGACCAAGAGAAGATAGTCATCTAAATTAGACAGTATGGAAGATTTCAGACTCAAAAGCCAAACCCAATGTCAGGTTCAGCTAGGGAAGCCATGACTGGACTAGTGCCTTGTCCAAGTGCATCAGGAACTATGGCATGAATGACAACAGGAAGAACCAAGTGTACTCAGTGTATTTCCCAGCAGAAATCCTGCAGCCACTGAAGAAAAGGCCTGTGTGTCCAATCCTGTAAACTCTCCACTGATTTTGACCTAAGGGTGTATAACCACTCGGTCATCTGCACCACACCAGAACATTTCTCCTGACACAAATATAAAATGAACTTAATACTTTCAGACAACCTTCTCATTCCTCCCCCTGGCTACTGGACTTTGTAATATACAATGCTGAATGTAGCAGTCACATCTGGCTGTGTATCTCACTATCCAGTGCGGTCAATTTCCAGGTGCTTTGAAAGGGCTCTAATCCATTCACTGACCTCTCACTGAGCAAGCACTCAAATGAACACACACACACACACACACACACACACACACACACACACACGCTCCTAACTTCAGCACAGAGAGTGACAACCTTAGACTAGCAAGGATGTGATGAGGACAGAAGGGCCACCTCCAACCAAGGATGTATTCTGGTCCACACAAGGGAAGACTTTCCTGGACTGTGGATGGACCATCTAGCATAACAGAAATCTCACTTGAACCATCCTTATGCGTGCACTGTTTTCTCTCTGAAAGAAAAAAAAAAAAACAGAGTAGGAACAAGGGCTTTAGTGCAATATACTTGAGACACAAACAGGAGTGCTCACAATGTGGGGCAGCACTCAAAGCATAGGGTCAAGAGGAATACTGAGAGAGAGAGCTACAATCAGACTGACTCTTCATGTGGGTAACAGTGTCCCATTATGGTGGCGCTGGCTTTGTGGATCCCACACTAATGGCACATCTGCAGCCTCTGGCTGCAGCCTCCTAGGATACTGCACGTTCACACACAGAGTGGAATTAGTCTGTATTCCTCACTGTAGAATTCATCCCAACCTTCCCTCAGTGATCCCTGAAGGCTGCCAATTTCTTCTCAATTTCCTTTTCTTCTCTGAGTTTAAGAAATGTGCCTCTTCTGGCTTCTAACTTTCTCTTATTACCTTCAAACTTTTAATGTTTCTAGCCACCAAAGGAGCTGCTAAAGTTTCTTTCAAGTAGATCAGCCCCTGCTGCAGTGGGTGGGAGAGACCCAGGGCCACAGCTGCTGACACTAACGTAAGAGGTATTACCTCACATAGAATTTAAAAAAAAAAAAATAGGGGCTAGAGAAATGGCTCAGTGATTAAAGAGCACTGGTTGCTCTTCTAGAGGACCAGGATTTGATTCCTAGAAC